TATATACTGTAATTATATGTATATATGATTTACTAATAAAAAAATATTTATATCACGTTGGCGTCAACTTGGGGGACACGATCTGCACTAATTAAAATGTTTTATAATATTATAAATTTGTGTAGAATTGAGCTTTGAAATATAATCAGCACTATATGTTCGAATTCTCTTAATTTTTTCAATTCCTATCCTCTTAACTATTTTTTTGGTATCAGGGTTATAACTTTCTTCAAACAACTTGTAGATATTTCTAGTCTTTGCAGTTTTTTTATGCAAACTATCTCTTGTAAATCCCAGAAGATTGGTTGAAACTTCATCATATACTAACCCTCTAGCTTGTTGATTATTGTACCTACTGTTATTATTTTTTATTTCTTTAACTCTTTCTTCAAATTTTTTAGTAAACAGATATCAGCATCTTATTTCTTTTTGGTAGACATGGGTTACACATTTTTTGCCTGGCTTGCATTATTGTATAACTGGAATAAAGTTATTGGTTTTGATTCTTTGTTCTTATTTCCTCTATTATTATCATCAATCAACTCACTTGGCATAGATAGTTCTTTTATTAAACCTTGTACTTTATTAGGTTCCATGGATTTTATTTCACTTCGTGAGATAGTTTTACCACCATCTATGGATAACTTACTTATTGTCCCCATTAGATTAGAGGTTTTTTCACCTTCATCTTCTACTGTTTTTGACATATCTATGTTCTGAACTTCAGTTGATGCTGTTCCTTCATTATCTATAAAACAAATGAGACAAGTTTTTTGTTTATCTATATTACTTTTTTCAAGACAGTTATAATGAAGTATATAATCACATATAAGCATGATAAATACTTTGGGTGGATTTAACAAAATTTCTTCATTATATTTATAACAATTCTCTAGTTTCAGTATTGTGATATTATTTGCAAGAGAGTTTGGATGATCTTTTAAGATATTTATTCCTAAGGTTTTTAATAATTTTGTTAGTTTGGGGTATTTTTTAGTAAGTTCTCCTTCACTAAGTGATTCATTACTCATAGTATAGGTTATGATGAGTTGATTAATAATGAAAATTTTTCTTATCATTTCATATTTACCTGACTATATATTATTTTTTTACTATCTGAAATTATTTGATAGTTAAAAAATAAATGGATATAATATCTAAATCAATACATTTACCTGAACTTTAATCAGATAAGTCTTTGAAATTTATTATTTATTTATTCTATTTTATAATATATTTCTGTATTAACAAACCAATTTGCAGATTTTATAAAATCTCATTTCAGATTTGGCAATCTGTTCATTCACAAATTAATTAGTATAAGCCAGAAAAGTCAAAATCTCAATCTAAAGGATCATTGTTAGATCTTCAGTAACAATTGCAGCCAATTTTTATCTTATAAGTAAATGCAATTAGTGAGTTAGTTTGTATATATGACTTTACTTAAAAAATATCTAATAAGTCTAATTATTGTAAAGCAGATCCAAAGCAGTAAAGTTTGGTTATAGTGAATAAATAAATGAGTTATAAATTAATCTAAATACTCCTATATAAGTCATAGATATCCTCAATTTCAGAAGTATTCTCATTAATTGCCTTGGATGTGGAAGCTAAGGCTTCGGGTTCAGGTTCTGGATCTGCATCAAGGTCAGAATCGAAAGTATCACCCTCTGCATAATACATTCCAGAATTATAATGATCTATCTTATACCTCATTGTAAGTCTACTAAGGAATTCAAGATATTGCAAAGTTGGATTTTGATTACTATAAATTCTAGAAGCATATTTATCTCTAATTTTTCTTAATTTTTTGGCTGTAATACTATATGATTTTAAAAATTTATTAAATATTCCTGTACTATGTTTTTCATTAATATTATAGACAGAATTGCATAACTTTCTATTTGCTATTACATCTTGAATTCAGGTAAGCAATTCTTTTGCACTTCTGGATTTTTTTTCATGAATAGAAATTGCTGAGATTTAGGATTATTTTTTGCTTCTCCTTTATTTTTAATATACCCAATACAATACCAAGAATAACCAGGCTTGTACCATTCAGAAGAATTCGATTCACTGGGTTCATAATGGATAATACGAAGAGTAGCAACTTCAGCAGGTCTCATACTCAACATCATAATTACATCTGCAAGATCTTATATAGTAGAGATTTTAGTAGTATTGATATTTTGAATTCTTCTAAGTCCTTCCTCTAAGGAAAAGTGTTTGAGAGTTTTAGGTGGATTGGGTAATTGCTGTTCAAGTTGGCTCTTTTGAATTTCATTAGAAGCTCAAGTAACTCTAGTAATTTGACATATATATAAATTTGCTTGGAACCAACTCCAGCTTCTGCTAACTCTCTATGAAATTGTGAAACACGAGAACTGGCTATCACAATTGCTTCATCTATATTATTTTTTAACACAGCTAAGTCTAAAGCATGTAACCAAATATTCCATACATCTTTAGTTTTTGCACAATATTGAGCTTTTTCCTTAATAGTAAGCCTTTTCTTTTTGTTGTTTAGAACCAGAGCTCCTATTTGATTTTCTTTGAATAAACACCAACGGAGAGCCTCTTTTACATTTTTACAAGCCTTCCAATCCAGTAGCATAGTACTAAGCTTATCGGCATGAGCACATAATTGAAACAGGTTTAATTCAGACAATAGGTTATATTTATTGAAGACCTGACCTAAAATGAAGATAAAGCTATTAGTTTTGGGTTTTCTAGTTTTTTGAACAGTTGTCATAATAGATATATAAATAATCTATATCGATAAATAGAATGTGATTATAAATTAATCTACTTATTTTTTTCAATTTGAAATTAATTATTATGAGTCAGTATATATACCCAAAATTGAATGGATTGTTGTTTGAGTAATCTTATCATAAAATAAACACAAATAAGACACAAGTTCGATCAGGCACAAAGTGTCATTTCTCCTAAAATAAAGTTTTGAAATCTGTAGCTTTATACAATAAAATTACCAAAAATATAGAAGGCATCAAAGAGGATATAACATTACTTAAACACATAAGTGCCATTTTTCCAAAATAAGAGATCCTGAAAAAAATAATCAATATATACATATGTCAAGTATATGATTAGACTTTGTGCATAGAATTGGAAAATCACATATATAATTCTTGAACCTGGTAATATGTACACATGACTTATTCTGCTTTTTTCTATCATAATTCTCTTTACTTTTATATTTTTCCAAGTGTTTATTGCATGCATTATATTTAGATCTATTTAGCTCATCACAATCTTTACAAAGAGTAGGTATTGGAGAATTACAATGAATATAACATCTTTTTGATTTACTATGTCGACCACAGATTTCTTCAGTTCTATAAATATATAAGCAATGGTATAATATCATCATGATTATATATAATAATTATTTCAATCAAATATATAATTATTTTTGGCATCTGGCTAAAATTTCTAGAATACTTAATTTTATTTTAAAGATTTATTTACTAATTAATGTAGTTTTAATAATATATACTTTTTATCAGATCGAACAATGTGTATATACAAACAACATATATACAAATTAATAAAATGAGTTTGTCTAATGAAGCAAAAAAATGTCTTCATGAATCATTATAGCAAAGTACTTAAATCAAAAGTTAGCTGAATATAATAAAGCAAAAAGGCTTTTTATAGATTTAACAGATTTTGACTATGAACTCAGCTATAAAGAACATACATTTTATAAATACTGGCTTGCATCCAATAGCCATACTGATAAAAATAATACTGCACTTTTAAATGCATATTAACCTAAGAAGATTTATTCTTAATATATAATTCAGATGGCAGGAAAAGGTTATACAATGATTGATCATCTTAGTAAAGTTTATAGAATACCTGATACTCATAAATGTATCAATGAGAACTAGCCCCTATACTTAATTATTTATATTGATGCAAGACAAAAACTTGATTCAAATAATTCTAAACATGCTTCTTTAGATAGTGAAAAAATTAATCAAGAAGATTTGATATCTCGAATTTTAGTCGCTTGTGCAGACACATTATATTTTGCATTGGGTTGCATGTAATTATTAAATAACTTTGTTTTGGAAAGTTCATCAAATGCTGAGAAAAGTAGTTGGCATATTATTTATCCTCGTGCCTGATTCATAGATTATGGAGAACTTAATGGATTCACAGAAAAGACTATAGAATTAGTTGGAGAACCTTATTCTAAATTTATTGATAATAGTCTTCCTAAAATGCATTTTAATCTTCAGCTTCTTGGATTCGCAAAAGAAGAACATATCAAAAGACCAGCTATTGCCTCTGTTAAAAATAGATTTCAAAAATTAGAAGATTATTTGGTTCAACCAAAATCTGATTATTCTGTGATCTGGCCATAGACTTTTTCAGAAAAAAAACCAACAGAAAAGGAATTCAAACCTATTGATAATGAAGATGCTATAGTTAAAAGTACTAATTTAGTTATTGAAAAATATGAATGGCTCCAGATTGGAAGAATCGAGAAAAGATTTGTTAACTTTCATTCACAATCGATAAAAGAATGTCCTATATGTAATGTTAAATATGAAAAAGACCAACTCTATGGATTTATTCGAAAAAATAGGTATTTTATACTTAAGTATTATTACCAAAAACAATACATGCCAGATCACAAGGGCCTTAGCTTTGATAAGGTATCAGATAAAGTAGAATTGAAAGAAAAGTCCAAAAAATGGAGATTATGTAAAAGATTACCCAAAGCTTTATCAACTCCATATTAATTTCCCAAATTATCTGAGAAAAGTATTAATATAAAAGAAATGAAGAATACCTAGATGCTTTTCTGGACTTTTTAAGTGAAGTGCCTAGTACTACTCTTATTCATTCTACAGTAGGTACTGAGAAAACTAAAACATTAAGAAAAAGTTTGGCATCTTTAGCTCAAAGTGGTGCTAATTTTCCTTGTACTATCTGGGTTTCATATCGCAAAACCCTTAGTAATGAATCTGAAGCTAAACTTAAAGAATTGAAAAATTTAATTTCAAAATAGAGCAATATCAGAATATTGTGGCTAACCTAAAGATATATGAGTGGGATCTTATTATTGTACAAGTTGAAAGTATTCTTTATCTTGATTTTCAAGGAGGTCATTCCTGTATAGTAATTTTAGATAAAGCAAATACTACTATGCATCAAATGACTAATGAAGTTCATGCTCAAGAATCTTTTAATACTATGTGTGATTTGTTAAATGTAGCTACTTATGTTGTTGCTATAAATGCTTTTTTAAACAATTTGACTTTAGCTTTCTTAAAATCATATCGAAGTGAGAATGTTTAAGTTAGTGATAACAAATATCAACCATGTAAAGTAGAAATTGTTAAATTTCTTTATGATCCAGATAAAGGTTCAGAAGCTATATGTAGAGGTTTTAGAATGCTTCAAGTAGGTAAGCATATTGCATTTGTTATGACATCTTGTAAAAAAGCTCGAGCCTTAGCTAATTAAGCATCTAAATTGCAAAAACCAGATGGTTCATTTTTTTTATCGTAAGTTTATTTTGGCCAAATGGATAGGAAACAACATCTAGATAATTTTGCTAATATTGATGCTACTTGGAGTGCTCTTGACTGTATAATTATATAAGCACTATGGAAGCTGGCATCTCTTTTGAAACCTCTGGTTATTTTGATGCAGTTATAGGAATTACTAATATTGCCACTTTAGTTCATGTTGAAGTATTTGCTCAAATGTTATTTAGAATTTGTGACTGCCCATTATGTATAGTTTCACTTCATCATAGCAAAAAATTTAACATTTTCAAAGAACCATGCCAGGAACTCATTCGGGCTAAACTTTTAGTATTAAGGCCTGGAGACTTACTAATAATAATAAAAGGCCAGTGTGCATGGAATAAAATTGCTAATTGTTATGCACTTAATTTATCTTCAGCAATAGAAACCTATATCGAAGTTGAATATCAGAGATGCTTATTAGCTAAATACCTTTCTGAAATTCTTTGCAGTCTTATTGCTAGTACTGAAGTAACTCTTAAATTAATTTTGGTAGAAGTTACTGAAAAAGTTAACAGGAAGGAAATTTCTCATACTATTAAGAATATTGTCAAAAAAATTAAAGGTGCAGATGCAGAATCAATAGCAAATGCACCTGATATTACTTTCAATGAAGCTGAAATTCTTAAGCAAAAACCTATATACTCTTTCACTGATAATATTGCTCTACAACATCATTATTTATGGAAAACATATGCTTCAGGTGATATTGATGGCAAGGATGACATTCAGAACTGGGACATGAACAATGATAATTGGATTAAACTTTGTAATAAAGATTTTATAGAAAAATATAATAACTCTGAACTTTTACAATATTTTAAAAGACTTGCCTATTATCGAAGACAAGGTTCAGATGAAATAAAGGCTTTGAAAAATCTGAAAATCAAAGAATCAATACAATAAAAAAATTCACATGATTCTATAAATCCAGTCTTAAATGATTTACATAAATTTTATTTGCCAAAACAATGAAAGGCAGTATGTGGTTTTTTCCAATCAGTAGGATTCAGTGGTATTGATGATACAAAAATTCTTTCTGGTGATGATATGACAAAAGTTTTTAAACAATTGCAGGAAAAAATTGTTAAAATCTAAGAAAATGCCTTGCTACTCTTTGGCTTTAAATCCTGAGCTAAGGGAACTTCCGATTTCAAAGCTACAGTAAAATTGATTAATGCAATAGCAGGAAATTGGTGCAGTTATACTGTCAAGAGTAGGTGAAAAAGAAAAGAACCAAAAGATCAAAGAGTATAGAAAAGAACTTATTGGATTTATCATGTGTTAGATAATGGAGCTAGGCCTATAACTTAAGAAGAACTAATAGATATAAAGTTGAATACTTCTAATTATCACCTTATAACTCTAATTCTTCTATCATATAAGCCAGAATTGATTAATGAAACTTAAGAACTTTTTGATTCAATACTTGTTACTACTGATATAGCTATTCCAAAATCCAGTAATGAGGTTTGTAAAGAAAGTTCTTGCAATAATATAGTTGAGAAATCTGTAACAAATTTGTCATAATTGCTTTCTTCAATATTAACTCAAAATCGATTGAATGATGCAGAGCAATTCTCAAGTATTACTGAAACTAAGAAAGAAATATCTGAATTCTTAGACACGATATGCCCACCTCCAGCAATTTTTCTATCTTCAGAATTTCTTATTAAAAATGAATCTAATATAAATATGCTTATCTACTATTTACAACAAAAATTTCAAATGTCTCAAGAAAGATTAGAACAATGAAAAACCAAGATTGCCTTTGAAATATGGGATAATAATAATTATTAGAAAAAAGAGTGTGAGAGTATGGATGAGGTTGCTTTCCTGGAATATAAACAAAACTTTGAGGCTAAAATAAAGGTTCCTACTACTTCATACAAAAAAGAATTAAAAACCCACTCTTTGGCTCTTATTGAATATGCATAACTGTTGTTCAAGATAATACAATCTAGTTAAGTAGTAATTTTTAGAGTAGAGAGATTGCTACATTCAGCTAGTTATATATCTGAGTAAAGAGATTTATGTTACTTTT